TCTGTTATAGATATACTTTAGTTATTTCAAGTTATTCTAACATGTTGCCTGTCTCGTTGGCTGAGTGGTCGCAAGGGCGACTTCTGGGCAAGGGGTCTCGGGTTCGATTCCGGGTCGGGCAGAGTATTATCAGGTTTTTTAAAATTTCTCAGTAACAGCACGGAGCCTGGAATTGTGCCCGGTTTATGGTAATAGGCTCACCCCCTATTATATGGGACTCATAACATAAATAGTGAAAAGTGGGTGTTACATTGTACAATGGCATAATGTACACCTCTGCCTACCCCTTCGGGAATAAAAGGCGTGATGTTTTGTTATTTATGTCTAACATGTGCTCAGAAACTCTTCAAGCTGAAATATCTATGTTACCTATATTTTTCTCTCTTCTATTTTAGTTTTGTTCGTCACTTGTAATCGTGGACTTGGAGCTGTTAGCTATTGAAGTGCATCTGCTTGGGTCTTCTATATTGAGTTTAGGCATATCCGAACCAAATATACATGTTCTCTCAGTGACAGTGATCGCCAGCATGCTCAAAATATCTGGACAATTGGGGCACAAGCAGTGTTTGCAATCGCAGAGCGGCTAAAATTTCATTGTAGGGTAAGTAGGTGAACTAAGATCTAAGTCAAACAACTAGATACCAAAAACATTTTTGTATGTAATGGGTCAGCGTTTGGATACGGTCTTGGTAGGTAGGTACTTAACCGATAATGCAGTCTACGATGGAGCACGCCTACCTATAAGCAACGTATTTACTCTGACCTGAAGACACCCAGGTTATACCCTCCATGAAAATAAGACTCGCAAAGAATTCTAATCCTTAGCGGTTCACACAAAGTGAAAGTAAGTAGGTAAAAGTTTTGCTACAAGATGTTTATTTATATTTGCATTAACCGTTAGGTAAGTATCTACTCACTACCTACTAATATGTCGTGCTGGCCCGGAGGTTTAAGACGCCCACTTCTCATGCTTGAGGGTGGGGGTTCGAAACCTACCAACGGCAACCTACTAATGTGACTTTTTCCGAGTTATATGAAGGTACTTTCTAAGATTATTTAGACACCACTGACAAACGGTGAAGGAAAATATCGTGAGGAAACCTGGGCTTATAATTCCTAGTTATAAGTTTGAAAACACCAACCCGCATTGAGCAAGCGTGGTGATCAATGCTCAAACCTTCTCCGTGTGAGAAGAGGTTTTGCTCAGCAGTGAACATTTATAGGCTGTTGATGATTGATGAAGTACTCACGGTCATAGTAAGAATAACATTAGGACTTTTTTGTTCATTTTTGCCATTGGTACATTTCGTATGGTATCTGGACATGTTATAAAATGGCCGGTTTTATTGCAAAATATATTACATTTATATCTAAAATTTAATCCATCTTGAACAATCTGTAATAGCCTATTATAGAAATGATACGAATCCAATGAAGAAGGATAATCTCTATAGATGAATGATATTGAAATCTGTAACAAAATGACACTGTTCATCTTTTTTCTTTATGGCATGGTAAATGACAAAGAGACTTATAGAAAAGAAGTTCTAATAGAAATATTGAGGGGCTAGTTCTAATATGCAACACAAAGGTAACATTTCTTCACTCAGTCCGAAAATTCCACTAACACTTACCCGATGCGAGAGTTGAATCCGGTTGTACAGCAGCTGACAGCTCGCCCAGTTTCGTTTTTTTTTTGACCATGGGAAAAATACTCTATGTATCGTCCTCCAATTGGGGAACGAGAGTGATATGTGGGACTTTCAACAGTGAATTGCATTTACTTAGCATTACATAGTGGGCCCTATCTTGTACGTAGGTAGCTACTTTGTTCCAATGACATGGTCCAAGTGTACTTACTTACATATCCCCAAGGACGTCGAAAACAGTTAATTACCTACATTCATAGGTAGCGTTGAGTACAGTCATTATAGACACAATTAAAGAACAATAGGTTGCGGTCACCGGTGACCGCTCGGTGTATGACAGTTTAATATGTCTTTGGTAGGAAAGTAGTCAATGGCTTCAACTGACAGGTGATAAATAGACAAAGAGCGCCGATGTCATAGAAACGCACATTTCTCCGTGAGATTACCTACAAACTATATGGGGCATCCGACATCCTAACCTAGAGGTGGCTCCTCATGCTGCCATCAACAGTCAAGAACTGAATAGAATGCAATAATAAATAAGTCTACAATGACTCCGGGTATTGCCATGTGACCACACAATTTGTAATGGGACGAAACACGTTTGCCAATCTGAGAATGATGTGGCAAAATGTGGTATCCCAGAAGTATATTACTGAGCCTTTAGAGCTGCGGTTATTGAAGCAGCGACTGGCAAATGTGTCATGTAAATGTAATAGAAATTACTCCAGAGGCTCGTATGAACCATCGTGTGACACGTTGCAGACGGCGCAGCGCAGTAAAGACTGTGGAATACAAGCTGAGCGTGTTATATCGTTAGATGCAAGGTCAACCTTTCCAGAAAAATACATCAAGGATGCTCTTTGTCCCACATGCAGCATGACCCTAAACCTTTTACGTGGAGGTACAGTCAAAGTTCTGAAAGACCAAGAATGTGAAACGACACCGTCAATGTTCTGTTCCGATAAATGTATTGGATATAAAGGTACCTTACTAACCAACTTCCTTCTCATCTAGTTCTTTTTCACAAATCTTATATTTATTTGCCTTTTTTAATGTTTCTATAGACTCCGCGTGGGAACTTCCAGGAATTCTCAGTCCCACCCAGCGTAAGCGCTCGCATCCTGAAAGGGTGACTTTTCGCGACGTGCCATATAAACGCTGTATGGAAGTTAAAAGCAAACCTCTGAGTGGAAACGGCTGTGTTTGTTTAGAAGATTTCATTGACTCTATTAGGCCACCCTTACCTACATTAATCAGCGTAGGAAAGAAATAAGTAGTATATATTTTACAAACATGTTTTGTTCTTTTGTGGTTAATGCCAATACACAGATTCATTGAGCGTTGTAACCCTTGGATTCATTGGGTGCGGATGTATGAGCAACATTTGCTACATTGACCCTAAACGGTTTTATCGTTTCTAAGTATAATAAAAGGATGTCAGAAAACAAATTTAACAAATTACATTTTATAATTAAATCATATCAGTAGTCGAATTTAGTGATCAGATAGATAATTATTGTAATAGGTACTTACCTAAATAGTATCTCACTAACTCACATAAATTAACTTACTGCTGCAGTTACTCATTTGGCTTAAATTAGCTTGTGATGTGGCCTCGGTGAGTATACATCTATACATACGTCTGAGTAGGTGGGTATACGTATAGATACCAATCATGTTTTCTTGCAGATTCCTACATAGGCCAATACCCTTAATACCCACAACTGTGCGGTTCTCACGTAGCTTCCTGCCTCGCACAGCAAAACTGTGGAATGATCTGTCGTCGGCGGTATTTCCGAACCGATACGACCTTCAAACCTTCAAGAGAAGAGCGTACCTACTCTTTTTTAAAGGGCCGGCAACGCACCTGTGACTCTTCTGGTGCGGGTGTCCATGGGCGGCGCTGATCGCTTACCATCAGGTGATCCGTCTGCTCGTTTGCCTCCTATTCCATGAAAAAAAAAGGCCCTACTGAGATTTATCGAGTTCGCACAGAATTGCTCCTCGTGTGCACTGTGATTGTGCACCACTTAGTAGGTACCTAACTAGTTCTACGAGTTATCTTATGGCAAGTATTCCAACATTTATTTTGGTTTCTAAATTTTAGGGTGTCAAGGGTGGGTTCCCCTTGTAATTATTAGACTGATTAGACCATCAAGGTCGATGATGATTTTACAGATTTTACTCTAGCACCTTAAGTGTGAAATCAATAGAAAGATTACGTAGGTACCTACCGTAGTCAAACAATAAAAAAGCAAAGAAAGAAAGAAAGAAAGAAAGAAAGAAAGAAATCATTTATTATATCAGATATACCTTTATGTGTAGAATTTAGTGTCAATAGGTATTTAGATATCTATCACTTTCAATTTCACACGTTTCCAAAGTTTGTGTGAAGTTTGCAAATAAATATTTTCCAGTCGAGTGAAGGTAATGCGACACGAGGGTGGCATAAGTTTGTAACAACAATTTTATTTGGTATATAACTTTGTGATCCCCTATCTTTCTTATATGTAGGTACCAGCGAAGAAACATGCTTGCTTAGCAATAGTTATGGACACGACTGGCTTAGCAATGGTAAAAATAAGTGTTAAGACTCGACGGCGATACAAGGTTGCTTCTGTCATATAAATATTAGTTCCATATTATACTGCTGTATAATAGCTCAACCGTACCTACACCAAAATATCGTATGACTTAATAGTGAAAATAACTACATAATAATAAAATAAACAAAACTTGCTTTTGCGTTCAATGAATTACGTAAGTAATCTGCTTTGATCAGACTCTATAAAAGAAGTTCTATTTTAATCCATGTAATTTATCATACCTTACCTACTGCAATGGTAGTGCTATATTAAATTCACGAGAAGGCGCAATGTTTACCTTTGTAATTTTCCCTATAATTAAATTGATTGACGTTACAGTTAGGGTTACCAACTTTTTTTAGAAGAAATAGAGTATATCTGATTTTAAAGGGCGTAAATAAAGAGTACGGATTTATAAAAAAGAGTATAAATTATTATACTTTTATAAAAAGGTATTTTTTGTACGTTTTGCGGCACATAACAATTTTTTACT